CGCTGGCGGCTTCGCGTCGCGGTTGCGCAGTGGGTCCAAGACCTTCGAGCCGAGACTGGAGAGAGGGAGGGAGAAGGCCTACAGCCCCCCATGACATCACGCACACTTCTTATCCAACTCCGTTGCTCGTTGATTTCAATGTTCAACGACGCACGCAACGCGGCCCGCGAATTCCGAAGCAAGAATGGCAATCGCCAGTTGCGGCGCGAACGCTGAAATTTTGGGCTCGTTGGTGCCGCCACGTTTCCAGAAAAAACGCGCGCTTGATTTCGCAGGGAAACCTGGGACGGAGGCCTCCGAAGCGGCATGTCCAAAAGGCAGGGGAACGGAGGAGAGAGGGGAGGGGAGGAGCAAGGGGATGGGAGGATCAGGAGAGAGGGGCGGAGCAAGGGGGAGGGAGGGAGAGGGGCAGGGAGAGGAGGAGACACGGATGGAGGACGGGAAGGGAGTCCAAAGGGGACGGAGGAAAGGGACGGAGGGCGGGGAAACAAGACGGGGACGGCGGGGGATGCGGGGAGACGGCGCCCTCACGCCGTGTCGCCGACGGTGCAGTTGACCTCCGCGGGGAGGCGAGAACGCATGCGCGCGCGGCGTCGCGGCGCGGCCGCCGTCTTCCAAACCGCCTCCCCCCCCCAGGGCAAGAATGACGGGGGATCAAGGCGGGAAGGGAGGGGGAGCCAGAGGGAGGGGGGAAGGGGAGGCGAGGGGGGCAAAAGGAGGAGGAAAATGAGGATGAGTCCGGATTCCTCTCCATCCTCATCCGAACCACTCCTCATCCTGGCTTCATCTTTGAAGCGCTGCGAGGGCCAGAGCGCTCGCCGAAAACCCCACGAAAACCGCCAGCCGGCAGGAGGCACCTGAGGCACGGCCCGGCCGTGCAGGGGGCACCGGGGCGAGGCGGACGGCCCTGACTTCGGGATCGAGCAAACCTCTGGTCAGCGCAATTTGGCCCTGGACGCCGACAGGCCCCGCGGCGCGCACCTCTGACCTCCCAGAGGTGCGCCTGCCAGGCCGGTCCGGCAGGCAAAGGCAGAGCAAGAGAGCCTTCACCCCGCACTGCAACAAAAACTTGGGACACCCAGCGGAGGTGGGCGTGCCAAAGGTCGGGATACCTTAAAAAATGGGTCAGCGTTCGGACTGGCCTAGTCAGTTCAGGTGATTCCTGTGAGGCCCGAGTGCTGACCTGAGGCAGCAGTTCCACGGCCGATTGGTCAGGTCTGTGTTCGGGCGGCCCTGGTGGCACTCAAGTAACTCTGTTGGGGCCCAACACTGACATGACTTGTCTTGATCCATACGGAAGGTAAAGCCTGCGACTTGGAGGGTCGGCTCCATCCTGGACCATCCTAAACATGTTGTCTGCCCTGGGCATGGAAGCTCGACCTCCGAAATTCACGTATTCGATCCTCTGGGGGGGGGGGGGGGGGGGGGGGGGGGGGGGCGGGGGGGGGGGGGGGGGGGGGGGGGGGGGGGGGGGGGGGGGGGGGGGAGGGGGGGGGGGGGGGGGGGGGGGGGGGGGGGGGGGGGGAGGGGGGGAGGGGGGGGGGGGGGGGGGGGGGGGGGGGGGGGGGGGGGGGGGGGGGGGGGGGGGGGGGGGGGGGGGGGGGGGGGGGGGCGAGAACTGGAAGGAGGCGGAGGGAAAAATGATAAGTTACATAAAGTTTAGGCTTTCCACGGGGGTCCATTGGGCCTCGGATGGTGCTGGAAGGGAAGGTGGACCCATCACTCCCATGCTCCTCCTCCCCCTCCTCCTCCTCCTCCTCTTCCTCCTCCTCCTCCTCCTCCTCCTCCTCCCTCACTCCTCCTCCTCTCCTACTCCTCCTCCGCCTCCCCTCCCTCCTCCTCCTCCTCCTCCTCCTCCTCCTCCTCCTCACCTCCTCCTCCTCCTTCTCCTCCTCCCCTCCTCCTCCTCCTCCCCTCCTCCTCCTCCTCCTCCTCCTCCCTCCTCCTCCTCCTCCTCCGCCCCTCGGCCTCCCCTCCTCCTCCCCCTCGTCCTCCCGCGCCACCTCCCTCCTCTCCTCCCCCTCCCGCCTTCCCCCTCCCCTGCTATTCCCCCTTCCCCTTCCCCCCCCTCATCCTCCTCCCCCTCCTCCTCCCCCCGCCTCCTCCTCCTCCTCCTCCTCCTCTCCCCTCCCCTCCTCCTCCTCCCTCTCCTCTCCACCGCCTCCTCCACTCCTCCTCCTCCTCCTCCTCTCTCAACTCCTCCTCCTCCTCCTCCTCCTCCCTCCTCCACCTCCTCTCCTCCTCCTTCCTCCCTCATCCGTCCCTTCTCCACTTCCTCCTCCTCCCCTCCTCCTCCTCCACTTCCTCCCCTCCTCCTCCTCCTCCTCCTCTCCTCCTCCTCCTCCACCTCCTCCTCCTCCACCCCCTCCTGCTCCTCCTCCCCCCCTCCTCCTCCTCCTCCTCCTCCTCCCCTCCTCCTCCTCCTCCTCCTCCTCCTCCTCCTCCTCCTCCTCCTCCTCCTCCTCCTCCTCCTGTAGCTGCGCGATTAGGTCGCGCAGGCTGTGTTCAAGGGCAGCCGCGTCCTCCTACTGCTCGAGGGTCCGCCATGGCAGTTGAAGATGTGCGCTTCGCGGGGTCAATGCGGAACTCCCCGACGTCGGGGTTCATCCTGTCGTCGTTGACGGGGCGGATGATTCGCTCGTCCTCCAGTCTGAATTCAATGCGGTCATTCACCATAGGCGTCGACGAAGGTGACAGCCGCGACCCGCGGGGCCTCGTGGCGGGTTCCCGGCTGGCTCTTGCCTCCGCGTCGTCGGCATCGCCCTTGGCCCCAGGCGGGGCCTTGCGCCGATGGCGGGAGCGCTGGTGGCAGAGGCCCCTCGGCGAGTCAGGTGGCCCCCAGTGGGCTTCTCGGCCGTCAAGGGTGCCGTCGTCGGCAACGTTGTAGCTGGCGGCGTCGCCGCTGGCGGCGCCGTCGCTGCGGCGCCCGTCGAGTTTGGCGGAGTTGCACCTGCAGTCGCCGCCGAAAGTGCCGCCGAGGAGGACGGCGCTGTAGCTGCGCTGGCGAGGCCTTCGCGGGCGCACTTCTGCTGCTGATAATTTCGCGGAGGATCCAGCCGTGGGGATAGGTGGAGGGGCCCTCGGCGACATGGCCCGAATCGCCAGGCGGGGGGGGGCGCCAGGGGGACCCCTTTGGGGGGATTCCCATCTTAACGCTCTTGTCAAGGCCAATGCCCGGGTCTACTCCGGGATGGAGCGCCCAGAGGGGCAGATCCTCGAACTACTCCTGGTAGCCGTACTGGGCGTCGTACTGGTAGTCGTGGTGGCTGGCGTAGCCGTGCTGGCTGTCGTACTGAATGCCGTGTTGGTAGCCGTACTTGTCGTCGAACTGGAAATGCTCGTGCCGCGAGGCGGATTTCAGCACGCTCGTGACGAGGTCGGAAATAGACTTCGGCGCCTCTCTGTCGAGGTTGTTGGTCTCCTGCGTGTTACGCAGGTCGTCGCTGAAGTTACCATGGTCGTCAGGATCCGGCGGCGGGCACGTCGTCTGTGGCGGGCTGCGCCCGACGAGATCCGTTACGATGTCCCTGGTGTCGGGTGCGACGTCTCTGCGCACTCCGCATGCGAGTCGACGCATGGCCGAAATCCGGGTTGTTGCGCTCCCTGTTGAAAGGGGGCAATGAACTCCACGTACAGTCGGGGCGTTGACCTGAGGAACCCTAAATCAGGAACGGGGCCCCTTTCTCCCGTACGTTGAACTTCGATTTCCCGTGGAAGACCTCAAGAAAACTGGGGGCAAAAACTGCAGAATAATCCAGGAACGCCGAGCCCCTCTCCAACGAGAAGGGTTCCTTCTTCAGGGCCCCGACGGTACTCGTGGGTCTCAGCCCTTGCGGGCAATTGGAGCTCGGCAGCAAGCCAGGGATCTCGGTGCACACGTTGGCCTCGAAATGCTTGCGGGCTGTGTTGGCGCTGGCGGTGGGCTGCTCGGTCGCGGGCTCCAAGCCGTTGGCCACTGCGCGAGGCCAGCGGGCGCCGCGCATGGCCGTCCGCCCCCGCTCGGGCCCCCCCACCCCTTCGGAAGGGGCTGGGCGGGAGGGCCTTGAGCCAAGTTGGCTTGAGCCAAAATGGCTATGGACCTCCTCCTCCTCCTCCTCCTCCTCCAACTCCTCCTCCTCCTCCTCCTCCTCCTCCAACTCCTCCTCCTCCTCCTCCTCCTCCTCCGCCTCCTCCTCCTCCTGCCCCTCCTCCTCCTCCTCCTCCTCCTCCTCCTCCTCCTCCAACTCCTTCCCCCCCGTAACCATTTTGGCTCAAGACGGGAACTCCTCCCCGTCCCGACTCCAGGGGCTCGAGGCCGAGGTGGAAGGGCAGCCCCTTCCCAGGCCTGGCTGCCTCGACCAGCGCGCGGCCAGCGGTGGCCACTTTGCAACCACGGCACTGCGAGTGACCTTCTCCTTTCTTCTTTCGCTCGTGCTCGCGCCATGGCATGGGGCCGCAGTGCTTCCTTGCGCGGCGGGCGCAATGGCGCCTGGGGCCGCGGCAACAAGAAGCGAGCTGCCCGTGACAGTGGCGGTGATCGAGAAGATGACGTATGCTCTTCCTGCCGCCACTGGGACTTCAACCACCATGGGAATTGGTGCTGCTCTCGGTGCGGAGGCATGTACCTCGCTGATGTCGGACAAGAGCCAGGAGGTGGTCAACCTGCTGGAGGTGCAGCTGGAGGGAACGGACAAGGGGGACCCGCTGATGATCCTCAACTTCGTGCAGCAGCTGCCGTCTTGCTCGCTGCCCGTCCTGACCTACATAATGTTCTTGGTAGATTGGTTCCTCCTCCTCCGCGTGAACCTGATGAGTGGACCGCGGCCCAGTATACTGATGCTGCCCGTCAGGAACACACTCGGCTCACAAAGGAGGTGGAGAACTACGCTAAGTCCGTGCGCCCGGCCGCCCAGGAGGTGCACCATCGTGCTAACAAGGTTTCGAAGCTGGAGGAGCCCCTGCGCGACGCTCGGGAACACCACCAGCAGGCGGAGATCGATCTCCAGGAGCCCGAGAAGCAGAGGCGGAACGCCGACGACGCCCTGGGCCGCTTCTGCCAGGATGCCCGGGTGCCGGCGAAGCGGCCGGAGCACGCGCAAGCCGCCGAGGCCGCCCGCGCTGCCCGCGCCGCCCCCGCGCCCGCCGCCGCCCAGGCCCCGCGGGAGGCAGCGGCGGCCGCCCAGCCTGGCGGAGGCGCGGCCCCCGCCGCGGCGGCCGCTGGCCCAGGCACGGCGGCGCCCGCGGCGCCCGCTGCTGCTGCTCCTCGGGCCCGCATGGACGTCGACCTGCCTGAGCTCAACGCCATGGATGACGCCCAGATCCGCCGGTTCTGCCTGGACAGTAGTCCTCCCTACGGTCTGGTCGCCCGCTTCGCCGAGATGCAACGGCAGATCAACGAGGGCGTGCCATCTGAAGTGGGGGGCGACGCAGGATCCGAGCCTGGCGACCTTGCCCAAGATCGAGCTGACGAGGTGGCGGCCCTTCGCAAACGTTCATCGGAAGGTGCCTTGGCTGATGCCGACCAGACGCGGATGGAGACCCTCATGTTCGAGAAGGCCAGCTCTCGGTCCGCGAAGAA